TGTACCGTTCACGCGATTTTCAAGAATGAGATGTCAAATAAAAGTGATTGGTCTGTAGATGTGCAAACTGGCTTTAGTTTTTCGAAAAGAGTTGCCACCTGTTGAAAAACTAAATTCAAATTATTTAATAATCAATGCCATCAAATCTGCACCGCTCGTTCGATTTTCCAAAATGAGGCGTCAAACAAAAAGCCTTGTACTGTAGATGAGCAATAAGGTTTTACTTTTTTGAAAAGAGTTGCCACCTTTTAAAAAATTATATTCAAATTATTAAAAAAAAAAATTAATTATTACAAACTGGGTATCAATCGAAATGGTTTTGAAAAGCTTTCTTTCTTAGCTGAACTATAGGAGGGTTGCCACCTGTTTAAAAAATTATATCAGGTAAGACAAATATGTATCACCATATGGGTGCCTAACGAAAGGGGTTACAGAAAGTAGTATATTATAAAATTGGGAGAGGGTTGCCACCTGCGTGAAATGTCAAATTTAGTTTACTTATACCTACACAAGTTATACAAAATATAAAAATATGAATGTCAAGCGAATGAGTGCTAAGAAATCTTTAGTTCGAACCCTAAGAATATGTTTGAGGTGTTGGAAGAAAGTTGCCACCTGTTTGAAAATTTAAATTCAAATTACTTTACAAGTTAAATGAGTTATTAAAATATGGGTATCAATCGAAGGGGGTTTGAAATTTTTTTATTTTTGAACTGTATTTATCGGGGTTGCCATATGTTTTAAAATTAAAATTGCACTTAGTTCATCAGTTAATTAAAGTGTGTATCGCAGTATCCGGCGAAGGAGAGTTAACAATGATTAAGCTTGAGAATCCCTCTGAAGAGGGCTGCCACCTGTTTGAAAGGTCTAACTCAATTAACTAATTCAAAAAGTATATTAAATATAAAAATACCTTAGTCAAACGAAAGAACTTTAAAAAATCTTTAGTTTGAACATTTTGAATGTTTGAAAAGAGTTTCCACGTGTTTAAAAAGTTAGATTCAAATTATTCAGTAAGTTGGATGACTTATTAAAAGATGAGTATACATCGAAGATGAGTATACATGAGAGGGATTTATTCCTGACCTTTACTTAGGAGGGTTGCCATTTGTTCGAACAATCAAATTCGAATTAGTTCATCAGTTTATTGAATCATTTATATTCATATTTATATCACAATGTCAGAAGATTTTAGTTTGAGAATAATTTTGCAGAAGAATTTAAAAAATTAAAGGTCAACTTGGAGACCTTAGCCTGTGGATGTATGATTAAGTTTTATTTTTGTAATTACGAACTTTTGTCATCGGAATAGGGTGATTTGAAATTCGATGAAAATAAAAACTTGCGCTATGCGAGACTACTCTTCACTCAGAAACGACTGCATGGTTTTGATGAAATATGGCACGCGGATCTCTTATAACTCTGACTAAAATTTGGAATATTTTATAAGTTTTTGAAATTCAATTTTGGGCCTTTTAACGCCATGCGGGTTCTCTAGTGTATATATATTCTTTAGCAGCGCCTCATCCTTATCGGAAAATTCCTAGAATCCAAAGCAGTGATACTGATGCTCATGCTTCCTTCAAAGCTTACTAAAAAGTTACAATGTATGTAGTTAAAAGCTGCAGGACAAACATTTTACCCCGAGCTCCTCTTCCACGGATAACGGTACCTCACCTTTAAGGTTTAAAAATATTTTGCGTCAAAGCAAAAAACTTTATTTTCGATCCTTTGCACAGGTGTAACAAATTCTTGCAGTTTGAAAACGCGCAAGACTTTTCTTTTAATATTTTCATCCAACTTCACTAACTTCAAAAATTTTTTTTTACTTTTTTAAGAAACAAAATTTTGCTGCTAATGAATCTGGTAGCATGATTTTTATTAAATGTCATAAACTTTTTAAAAGTCAAGTGGTTGGCAACAACAACGAATGTCAACAAATGCAACAACCTTCTGTTTTTGTATTTTGCGTATAACAAATATTCTTAATATTTTTCCGAAATATTTTGGCGGAAGTCTTAATAATAAGGGTGGGGTTTAGTACCGCTCACAACTATTTCGGGCTATTCCATCCAAATGGGTGGCCTGATCCAAAAAAAAATTTCACACACTTGTAGTCAAGGGTCCACGCAATATTTTAACACTCACTTTTGTAAATTTTGGTTACTAATTTATTTACAAATTGGGTTTGAAATATGCCCTTTTTTGTAAAATTCGGAAATTAGCGTACATTTATCACTCCGATTCTGCTTAAATTAGCCACTTTACCAATATATTTTTGTATTCCCCTTCACTTTACACTTTACTTGATTTGTTATAACTTGCTTTACGACTTTAATATTAACCAATTCATCACAATTCATTAAATAAAAACACCTTCAAAATCACGCGTCTGACTTTGGTTGCATATGCAAATTAAATGGCGGAGTTCAGCTGTCAAACTCCAAAATATGCAAAAGAATGAGAGACAAAAGAAGATAGGATA